GTGGCTCTGCACGGAGCGCATTTGTTGTGTCTTGTTAGATTTTTTCTTTTTTAGTTTTGTCATGTTGGCTCTTCTGTCAGGTGTTGTAAATCATCAAACCACCCGCATTTAGTTTGAACAGCTTCCCGCTTGTTTGGTTTTCTCATGCATTGAGATAGCAGCGTACAATCTCTGCTGCTAACCGGATGTGACGAACTAGTATTAGAGATTCTTTTACCAGGTAAGTTTCTTGTTCTGAATTGAATAGGCCACGTGTTCATTTACATAACTGACAAGTACCTCATTTTATTTTAAAGATCCGGGTATGATACCTTAATGTACATTTCTCCATAATTAAATTGTTTCAAGAGTAAACAATTTTGTGTTGTACATTTCACAGAATTACACATATGACAGTCAAAAGTCATAAATTATTTTTTCGTGTGAAATTTGAGGTTTTCACTGCGGTAAGGATAGTGATGATCTTCTGGATTTCGGCGCCGTGTAGACTATCGTCGGTGGATGCCGACGTTTCGGAGAATCTTACTGCCCATCTTCGTTTCTGAAGATGGATAGAGTATGTTTTGGAGAAACGTTGGCATCCACCGACGATAGTCTACACGGCGCCAAAACCGAGAGGAACATTATAATTTTCTCTTATGTTTAATTTAATATTCATCATGTCGAAAACTGTTTTAAATAAAATATAAAGGTATTAATACAATTGATGTTTTATACTATGTATAAACTTTTATAGATTATTTTTATTTAAAAAAAATTTTGTTTTGAGTTGTATGTGAAGTAAGAGTTATATTAGAACACGGTCCAATTTTTCCCCATTTTTTTTAGAAATTTGTTGAGTAGTTCCGAATAACAGACAGACCAGTGCGTCGTACTTCTTTCATTCGCCTTCAATTCGTTGAAATAGCATAAAAAAGTTTAATTAGTTTAAATTATTTTCGTCCAGAATGTATTAATCGCGAAAGCTGTCACACTCTGCTTATAGTTTTGGTGTTGATCACAAATGTCATGTGTATAATCAGATTATTTGCAAACGTGGCGTGCGCGAATGTACACCGAATGGAACTCCTCTGGTCATCTGTTTCCTCACTATTGAGGTTCCTTAATAATCATTTTGCAGTCAGACCTGAAACCGTCCTGGCTGCCAAGTGATGCACGTTACCCTTTGTTCTGAAACACAAACTATCGTATGGAAACATTCTTTTCTCTCTGAGTCTTCTATGGCTGTCTGGACGGTCTGATATTCAGGTAAGCGGCTTAGGAATATATTCAGTATCACGCGGTAGTAGGAACGTTAGCATGCATTTCATTATCTGACTTTACGCTCGGTTTCCCTCAAATCAGAACTCAAATTGTTAATAGAACAGAGCAGTGGTTCTGAACCAGGGGTACATGTACCTCAAGGACCACGTGGAATCTTATTAGTGGGTACATGACGTATATTTTATACAGTGTCATGGACAAGAGTCCTTGAAAAAGTTACTAGCACACCCAACTAGTCTAGAAATTACCCGCATTTTATGGAACCTGAAGGTCATTTACCGTGAACATGGACTGTCTTCTGATATATGACGATTGTGATGTGGTAGAAATTTGCCGGCGTTACTAGCACACCCAATTAGTCTTGAAATTACCCGCATTTTATGGAACCCCGAAGGTCATTTACCATGAACATGGACTGTCTTCTGATATATGGCGATTGTGATGTGGTAGAAATTTGCCGGAGTTTCATCATCACGGTGGTGAGTCATCGTCATGCTCGGTGCCGTAAGGAGCCAGATTAATCCAATCCAACTCCCCTCCCCAACGATACTTACCGAAGATCCGTTCATCTGAATGGAAGGGAAGTTATGATAAATGTCGGTTACGACATCTGGATTTCTGCCCACGGTTTGCGCGCTCTGTCTGCACAGGAACTGATGTCGCTGTCAGAGATCTTATGAACGAGGAGGATTCGGGTTAAAATTGGCCATTGTCCTATCTGATATTAAAACCTTGTCTGTGGATTTCATTGTGGTGGTCCAAAATCTGTGATGGATGATGGAACATGGGGCACGTTTCGAATTTGGCCTCTATGCTCACAGCTGGAAGATGTAGTTGGAGGCTGGGGCGATGGATTAAATTTAATCTTGGACGCTCTACAACTCTAAGAATTTGGCAGATCATATCATACCCTTGTGAATATTTTAAACTCGGACTGGTTGTTATTAAATATACAACAGTAGAGCACTTTGGTCGTAAAAGTTATGGGAGCCCCCTTGTCTCAAGGTTTGTAACCATTCTGTTGCAAATTAATGCACTGACGCTCGGAAAGTAGTAATTAAAATATATAGATATTCCTCTCTGTAGCCTAATGATAATAGGATATAAAATTATAATTAGGATTGTATCCAAAAATTGTGGAAGTACAATGGGGCAGTTTTTGTTGAATTCGGCATAAACATGAAAATAATTAGACCCAAAAGTATTTAAATTTAACCTGTAATAACGTCCATGTAGATGAATATTAGTCTGATCTAACACTACTTTAGGTTTTTTCCACCGTTCTTGACAGGCAATTTTCTTGTATGAAAAATGACTTTAATTAACCAGCGTGTGAGGTTGAGGACTGGGTTGAAATGACTCATGGTAAGATCCAATAGCAAACGTTTTATGTTGGCAGCAGTGAATCTTCGCATTTCACAAATGCAGGGGATTTGTTTATCAGGTGAGCAGCTGTCACCTTTTTTAAGAATGACCCTGTTTCACGATGGTCGTAAGTGAACCGCGTTTCCCATGTCAGCGTATTAAATAATTAAAATTAAAATCTATGTTCCTATAGATGAAACCATAGACCATAGAAAAATTCAAATCGGAATATAAAGTTGGTATGTCTGATTTGAGAAACAAAGTCGCACGATCAACCCAAATGTCAGTACAGCGACGATGCATTCGAGTGTTTCATCAGCTGAACTGATGTCGATAAAATGTTCTTCGCTGATGTACTAATGTTAAATAAGTACCTGACTGAATGGCATGTACTACGTAAGATAAGAAATGAAGTAACTGTGATCTAATCTACTTAAACATTCGCTAGATTTAAGAATATTTTGGACAAGAGTCAGAATTTAAAATCATAGCTTAATCATTGATAACGAAACTCAAAGACTCAAAACCGCTGATATTAAAAATGATCATGTGTCAATTTAATCCACGTGGTTATCTAAAAGCTGTCTTAATTTTATCTTCCATCTTTTTTATCAGTCTACAAACACGTCTTTCTTCAAAAGGTTTCCTCAACAAATTTCTGTATGCATTCCCCGTCTTGTTGGCTAGAGCTCGATTGTATAAGCAACAATAACAGTTCATAACAAATAACAGTTTATAGTGGCCTCGAGGTCCAAAGCGTCAATTTTGGTATCTTGGGTGTTGGGATCGTGGGTTCGAATTCCACTCTACGTGTGGGTATATTTTTATGTTTTTCGGTGTTGTGTGTAGGCGTAGGCGTATGGGTCAGTATCTCGTAGAAGATTCCCTGCCAGATATCGAGGCTGACGAGGTTAGAGAAATATTAGTAGGAACCTGTACAAGTCGTACGAGATTGATTAGTCCTTCAAGGAGATCACAGTTATCCGAATAGTAATATTTTACGTTCCCATTGTGAGTATGAACTGGTGTTCTGGTAATGCGTTCTACCTTGCTTTGTGGTTTATTTATCGAACTTTGATTGCAAACGTTTCCTGGTAACTCGCAATGCATAATGGCTTCCGTGTGATTCTTGATTGTACAGCCACTGTTTAATTTTATATGATTTGAGTATTTAACGGCGACTAAACTTAACAAAAATCCTTTCAGGCCACTAACCATTTCAAGTGGTCAAGTGTTTCTGAAACCGAAACGTCATCACATGGTTTTAATTAGTTGTTCTGTGGTATTATGTTGCAATTATTCGACCACAAATCTCCTCCGTCATTACCACATTTCCTATGTTGATGTGTGTGAATGGTACGTCATAATGCTGTGGTGATAAGCAGTTATCGTGTGAACACGAGATAAGGGCTGTCTCGGAAAGTCTGTTGACATCTCCTGATCCCAGCGATTTGGTCCTTATTCTCATTTATGAGTAATACGAAAATTTTGTCAGAAGAGGAGAGTTGATGTATGCTGTTGCTACAAATAATATGGTTTATCCTGTGTTGTTTTTGTGTTTCAAAGCTGTAATGGTTATTCGGTTTCCAAATGAAACGTCATGCCAAATTTTCCGCTGTTGGCGGTGTTCCAGCTTTTTTTTATTTGAAACTAAATAAAAATAAATTTATGTCAAGAAATTATGCGATATTCCAATTAGGTTGATCCGTACAGATAACAAACATATTTACCCGATATATCAAGATAAATTTACATCCCAAAACATTACCTCGCTGAAGATACCAAATAATTTATTTAAGAGAAGATGCTTAGAAGTAAATGGGCCCTTGGCTTGGAGGGTGTTCTGAAATTGTGAGAGATAAAAGCTGCTGATATTATGAATTTTGTTCCACGATTTATGTTGCAGTGTACGTAATTTTATGTGCAGAAATAAGCGATAATTCGCTGTCGTAATGAACACGTCCAATTTTGTTCGCCGCTTAGCGACGCGACGCGACGCCGCGGGAGGAAAGAAGGGGTTTTGGCAGCACCCTAGTGCCAAGTGAGCTAGATCTGGCTGGGG